CTTTACTTTCAACCCCATGCTCTTTGAAAACATAATAAGGAATCAAAGTGATCTATGACAGCAGCTTTCAAATATTCACCATTGTGACCCCCAATGAGAGGACATTTTTATACTGGGCTCCAGTATACACATACACATATATAACTGAAGCAAAAATTTAATGAAATAATGCCTTTCTTAATATCTGTGATGCTTGCTGAAATTTCCCCAAATACCTTGTCACTATTATTTTTTCTAATATTTACTTATTTGGCTGTATAGGGTCTTAGTTGCAGTACTCAGGGTGTTTGTCACATAATGCGGGATCTTTCCTTGTGGCACACAGATTCTCTAGTTGTGGCGCTCAGGCTCAGCAGTTGCAGGGCATCAGCTTAGTTGCCCTGCAGCATGTGGGATCTTAGTTCCCCCACCCTTAGTTCCCACATCCCCTGCATTGCAAGGCAGATTCTTAACCACTGGACCAACAGGGAAGTCCCATGTCACTATTATTTTTTAATTCTGGTTGCCACTACCATTGCCATGACCTACTAATGGATCGTGAGCAAGCCACAAGTGGGCCTCGGCCTCAAGGTCACATATGGCAGACAGAACTCCCGCTAGGCCACTGGGAACCACAGTGGTGGCCCTCCATGGGCCTCCCTGCAGGGTTGGTGTTTCACTCAGTCTGGTTGTGAACAAAAACTCTCTTTCTCCTCTCAGGAGCACAGTAGTAAAAATCAGCAACATTTCAAGGGAACTCCCTTGAAAAGTGCAAATGTTTGTCTAAGTGCTTCTAAATTTTCTGTGCCTGGAACACAAATAGAAGGAACATAAGCAACATTCATTCAGCCACTGAAGTTGGCCAGGCTCACTGTGGAGGGGCCGTGTTTCACTCCAGCTTTGTACCCCAGGCCTCAGGTAGACAGACACCAAAGAGCTCTAAGACAAGAGGTGGCCTGTGACTCCTCCAATCAGCTCATCCCCTGTGAGTGTGTGCATGCGTGGAGGACAGGGAGCAGAGATCGAGTTGTTGCCTCTGGGATAATCTTCCTCTGCTCTATGAAGTTATGCGGCCAAGTACAAATGGAAAGGCAGGACGCACTCCTCGCTCTTGGGGGAAACCTGAACAGTCTCAGAGCAGGAAATGAAGAGTCCTTGTTTGATAACAGAAAAAGGGAGTATCTTTCAAGATAAAAGAAACTTTGGTTATACATGTAACTCTTTAAAAGGAGGGTGATTTCTATATTTTTTTCTCAGCTGTGTCACCCCATCTCCTGATGTTGGTGTTCTTTGGAGGGAAATATGACTTTATTTTGTGCAACTTTGGGGACTTCCCTGGTGGTCCAGTGGTTAAGACTCCATGCTTCCATGGAAGGAGGCATGGGTTCAATTCCTGGTTGGGGAAGTAAAAGCTCATATCCCACATGCCATGTGGTATGGCCAAGAAAGAAAAAATACTTGCGGTATTTTGTGCAAGTTTAGGCTAACTGGTGTTCCCGGAAGTATTTGTTCATTTGGAACTCTGAACAGCAGTTTTCAGGACTTATGGAGCCGGGGTAAGGAAGGGACCACCCAGCAAGCAGGCTGAGGATTGAACTTGACTGACCCCTTTGGCTCTGATGGACCCCTGGAAATTCCAAAGATCAAGCTTCTGGGGGTTTTAATACTGGCATGGAAAACATTTGTTTAAGGGGTAAATATGAACCTCCTGTCTATATTTTCTCTCCCCTTTCTTGAAAGAACCAATACAGTAAGGCCACAACATTCCTATAGGCTAAAGCAAACAACTGTCTTCAAAGCTTAGTTAGGGTGCTGGAAGAAGAGAAAGCCTGGGGCTAGTGGCTCATTCACCAGATTGCCCCCTCAAGCCTCTACTGCTTCTGACAATTCTGAGCAGTCCAGACTTGATTCTATCAGGTGAGCTGCCTGGAGTCTCTACTGCTTTGGAGCATTGCCAGTGTTCACCAATATTCCCAGTTCTCCCCTTCCTTCTGGGCACATGGGGAAACCATACTTCCCTGCCTGCTAAAGTGCAGTTGTGTGACCTTTTTGGCCAGTAAAAAGTGAGAAACAACAGGTGTCACATCTGGGTGGAAGCATTTTGGAGCAAAGATATTCCCAAGCTTGCTTTCTCCATTGCAGCAAATCCCAGGGCCCAAGTTTGGATGACAGTGTCCTCAAATGGCAGATCCTTCTTCAGCCTTGGTCCTTGAGTGGCTACAATGCACAGAATTCCCCTAATAAGTCCATGTTGGACATGTAACATGAGCAAGAAAAAACCTTCAGTCAGCCACTAAGGTCGGGGGTTGGTTGTTACCATAGCATAGCGTGGTCCATCCTGACGGGCACATGGATTTGCTTAGCATAACCCACAGGACCTTAACATTTCTCAAGGTACTAATTAGCCAATGATGGGGTGAGAAACTTACTGAACTCCAAACTGGGAACTCTCCACTCTCCTTTCTCTCATGAGAGCTCATAATGGCCACAATTCGCTGGGAACTCATTCCAGGCAGCTCTGGATCTGTTTGGCAGTAAGGAACTCCCACGTTCCCAGAATTCTACTGGGCTGGGTAGCTCTATAAAAATCTGTCTCCCTGGAGGCTATTTCAGCGCTTATACTTGTTCAGAAACATTCAGCCAAACAAATGTTCATTAAACAGCTCACTACCTAACCACCAGGCAGAATTGGAGCAGCATTTTGAAGCTGACTCTCAGGAACTCACTCCGAATGAAAGGATGAACATTCCTCCCAGGGCAGCACCTTGTTCCTCAGAAACGCAGGCTGCTGTGGATGCCCATGGTTACCCAATGCAGAGATCTCGCCTCCAGGATTCTCGTGATCCTCACTCAGTTACCATGGCCACAACACACGGTTTGAACAAACAAAATTTCTGACCTCATCTGGTTCTCACATTTGAAAAGTAAGACATTTGGAGAACGAATTTATTTTGAAACCTTAAAAATCAACTGATGAATTAAGAATTTTGAGTACTGTGATCAAATGAATACAAGCCATGACCTAGGAACCTCATTTTCCACCCACGTGAAAAATGACGGCCTAAAAAATCATTTTGACAACTGCTGAAGTTTCGATATAGAGTATATTTTAAATAGTATTCTACCAGTGATAAAGTTCCTGACTGTGATAGTGCCATTGTGGATAAGAGAAAGTCCTTGTTTTTAGGAAATACACATTGAGGTATGTATAGGTAAAGAGGCATGTTTACAACTAACTCAAACTGTTTCTGAGAAATGATAATACCATAAAAAGAGAGACAAAACAAATTCAATAATGTTAGCAAATGAGAAACCTAGGTGAAAGGCCAAAGTTTGTTCATTCTATTATTCTTGCAACTTTTCTGTAGGTTTGAGAGTTTTCTAAAGAAAACGTTTAAAAAGAACCATGTGTGCTCCACATTAGTGACTTTCAACTTTTTTAACAATAAACCACAATATAAATTGAATGCAGCAATCCAGACACACACACACACACATAAAATCTGAACAAATGCATACAGGTTAAATAAAAAGTTCCACAAAATAATACTTATTACACATGATGCTCTGTGACTTTTTGGTTATACCTTTTTTTAAATGCCAGCTGAGACCCATTGGGCTGATGACCACTAACGGTCACAATCCATCTGAGCACTCCTGCCCTCAGTGGTGCTTTCTGCAACATTTCTAACACTTAGTGATACCTAGAGATACAGAAGAAGCACTATGGCCTTGAAGAACACAGCTCTGTGCACCTTGAATCCATGTGGACTTTGAAAACCCAGCCCTTCAAATACAGAAAGAGGACATTAAGATTAGAGACTGTCAGAGTGTCACAAAGGCAGTCATCACTACACATGTGTGGAGGATGACTTGAGCACATACAGAGCAGACACATAGCCCCTGCTCTGGCATTCAGGCCTGGGAGCTTACAGTTAGCCACCTTGCACCCTGGAAACCCTCTCAGCACTCCCTTCCCACCTTTTCTCTTAGCCCCGAAGTGTGAAGCTCATGATAATTCCCACACCTAATGGGATCGTCCAAGCTAGAGACTCCCTGCTCCGCTAATATAGCATCTCTGTGTCTTTCCAAAACACAAAGCAAAGAGGATTTTGTGGCCTCCTCGGGAGAGTCATAATGTATGTTTGCATTTGAAAGACACTTGAAAAGTCCTGCAGAAGAGAAACCTGTTTAATCTTTTTTTTTTTAACCTTAAGATTTTACAAATATATTTGTCCACAGACAACACCCCTCCTCTTTTTTTCCCTACCCTGCCCTAAAGTTCTTTTGCAGCTAAGGCCACCCTTGGGAATAAGTGCAGAGTAAGTGAAATGAGTCTTTGTTTAAACTGACACATCTGGGACCACAGGAACCACCTCCACTACCTTGGGTCTACTTCCCTTTCCCACTGGCCTTCTGTCCTACCCATCTTCCTGGACCCTAGTGTCCCCAGGCTCCTGGGGGAGGGGGAGGAGGGTTGTACTAGAAAACAAAGGGATTGGCCTTAATGGTTGCCCCACCAGGAGAATTGGCACCGTTTTTAGTACTTAGCGAATGGATTAACTGGCGTGCTGCAGGCCATGGGGTCGCAAAGAGTCGGACACGACTGAGCAACTGAACTGAATGGATTAACTCCAATTGAGGCATGCAGACCCAGTTTCCTAGAAGATGGGGGTGGGGAGGAGTAGAGATGGAGTTCTGTAGCCACAGAACTTCCAATTCCTAGTCTTCTCACCAGAGGGCACCTGTTCATTGTTGCTTCTCTTTTTCAATTGATGCTCATGTGACAAGGGCAGAAATCCATAAACCCCACCCTCCCGCACAGGGTATTTCCCAAGGTCCTCCTCTTCCCAGGTCAGCTCTAATGGCAGCCTGGTCCTTCGATCCTTCGCGGAAACTTTCACTCCCTGCCCCCATCCTGTGCCCCTCTCCCCACCAACCACCATCCAGCCCAGTTAACAACCTCCCCGCTGCCCCACCAGGGTAGTTGGGGCCACCCCAGTGGGACACAGTCGGTCCCTCTAGAGGACAAACAGCACGTGCTGGGCCACGCTGAGCAGGAGACCAGAGCCCACGACAAACGGGGTCTTGTGGCCCGAGCCGCCTACCCCGAGGGAGGGAAGGCTGTCGGACAGCGAGGTGTTGACCGGCCCGTCCTTGGTAGTATTGGCCGCCTCCACCACCGGGGCCCTCGGGGCCAACAGCTTGGAGAGGAGGCTGCTGAACCTGCTCACTGTGGTGGCCGCCGGCTCTAGGGATGGGCTGGGACTGGAAGCCGTGAGGTTCAGCTCGTCGGGGTCCACACAGAAGCCTGCCGAGGAGCGCCCGAAGACCACCTGGCGGAGGTCGAGGCCAGCCACGGAGCCCGGGGAGGCGCAGGGCACGTCGGCGGTGCGCCCGAAGCTCTCCATCCAGTCCCGCAGCCACTCCAGGCGGCAGTCGCAGCGCCACGGGTTGCGGAAGAGGAAGAGGCGGCCCAGGAAGAAGCCGGGCTGGAAGGCGGCCCAGGCAAGCACGGTGAGTTGGTTGCCGTTGAGATGCAGGGCCAGGAGGCCCGAGAGGTTCTGGAAGGCGCCCTCCTCCACGAAGGCGATGCGGTTGCGGTCCAGGTAGAGCAGCTCGAGCTCGGCCAGCTCGGCGAACCAAGCGCGCACCACGCGGCCCAGCGCGTTGCCGCCCAGGTTGAGCGTGCGCAGGCGGTGGAGGCCGACGAAGGCATCGGCCGGCAGCACGGCCAGCAGGTTGTCGTTGAGCAGCAGGTGCTCCAGGGCGCCACAGTCGCGGAAGGCGCCGCCGTGCACGGCGCGCACGCGGTTGCCCTGCAGGCTGAGCGAGCGCAGGCGGCGCAGGCCCAGCAGCGAGCTGGAGGCCACGGCCTCGATGCGGCTGCGCTCCAGGTGCGCATGCGTCAGGTTGGCCAGGCCGCGCAGCGCGCCGGGCACGCGGCGGAACAGGTTGTCGAAGGCGGCGAGCTCGCGCAGGGCGGGCAGCTCGGCCAGAAGGCGCTCGGGCACGCTGAAGAGGCGGCAGACTGTCAGGTCGAGGCGGCGCAGGCGGCCGAGAGCGGTGAAGGTGCGCGCGTGCAGGTAGCGCAGGTCGCCGTTGTGCGCCAGGCTCAGCTCGGCCAGGCGCGGCAGGCCCTTGAAGGCGCCGGGCGTGATGAAGGACAGGTTGTTGTGACGCAGCGACAGGCGGCGCAGCGACGGCAGCGTGCCAAAGGCCCGCTCGCCCAGGAAGCGCAGGCCGTTGCGGTCCAGGTCAATGGAGGCCGCTTCGCACGGGAACTCGGCCGGCACCCGCAGGAGGCCCGCGCGGTCGCAGCGCACGGAGCAGCGGCGCTCCACGCTGCTGCAGACGCAGGCGGCCGGGCAGGCGTTCACGCAGGTGTCCTCGGCGGCCCGGGCGCTGGGCAGGCCGAGCACCATCGCTGATGGAGACGGGGCGGGGAGGGGGGAGAAAAGACAGAAAAGGCAACTGTCAGCCACAGGATCTCCCCAGGTTGGATCCTAGCCCTCCGCGTGGCGGGATGCGACCATCCATCAAGTTCTCAAATGTCCCGCGCGGCTCTCATTCCACCTTCCAGACCTTACTCAGGTTTTCCCACCCACCATGTCCTTTCCCTTGACTTTCCAGTTCTGTTCATTAGCAAAACTCAGCTGGAATCTGGCACCTGACCCCATCCTAACCACCCTTCTCCTGCCTGTTATCATTGCTTGTGCTCTCCTAGAATGGGGCCCAGAAGGCTTGTTGTCTGCATGCATAGACGGACCTGAAGAGCATCACTGTGGCCTCTGCTCTTAGCCTTGTGCTGCGCAGTCCCTAGCCCCCCACCACACTTGGCTGTTGAGCATTTAAAATGTGACTAGGGAGAGAGAGTGTGGTGCTTGTGAGTGTCCAGCATGGCGTACCGGGGCCAGGGCCAGAAGGTGCAGAAGGTGATGGTGCAGCCCATCAATCTCATCTTCAGATACTTGCAAAATAGATCGTGGATTCAGGTGTGGCTTTATGAGCAAGTGAATATGCGGATAGAGGGCTGTATCATTGGTTTGATGAGTATATGAACCTCGTATTAGATGATGCAGAAGAGATTCATTCTTAAACAAAGTCAAGAAAACAACTGGGTCGGATCATGCTAAAAGGAGATAACATTACTCTGCTCCAAAGTGCCTCCAACTAGAAGTGATAGATGAAGTGAGAAATTGTTTGGCAATACCGTTGGGTTTCTTAGGTGTCTTTTGTTAGAGATGTAGTTCTAAAACTTGTATTCATATTGTTCTGCTCACCCTTATGTTATTACCAGATGACAATAAATGCTGTGTGACTGTTTTTATCAAAAATAAATAAAGAAAATAAAATGTGACTAGCCCGAACTGAGGTGTGCTCGAAGTGAAAAATACACACCAGATCCCAAAGACTTAATAGCAGAAGAAGGTATTTTAAACATTTATTTTTCTTTTTGGCCACACTGGGAGACATGCAGGGTCTCTGTTCCTTGACCAAGGACTGATCTGTGCTCCGTGCAACTGGAAGCACGGAGTCTTAACCACTAGACCACCAGGGAAGTCCAAAAAAAATTATTTTAAATATCTCATCAATTTTTATATTGATTACATGTTAAAATGATATTTTAGATATATTGGCTTAGCTAAAATATTAAAATCAATAGCAGTGTTTTACCTTTTTTATTGGCCTGCTTAGAGAATTTAAACATGTGTGACTTGCATTATATTTCTATTGGTACTGCTATAGTCCCTCCCATCATAAGAATTCAATTCCTGAAAACCCCTACTGAGTAAATTAAGTCTCATGAAGAAGGGAGAGTTAGGGACTTCCCTGGTGTTCCCACTGCAGGGGGCATGGGTTTGATCCCTGGTGGGGGAACTAAGATCCCACATGTGATACAGCAAGGTCACAAAATGGGGGTGGGCAATTGGGGAATAGGTTAGGAAAACCTATTAATCTTTTTTTTTCTCTAACAGTCACTATAAGTAAGCCATAAGGACAGCACACTAAATAAATTATCATCTGACACATCTGAAAAAGTACTTATGGACACTGTGTGTTTAAGTTCCATTCACCAGCCTTTGTTCTCTAGAGCCTTTTTTGCACATTACAGGAAAGGACTGGAGCTTATAAATTAATTTTGTTCTGAGCATTTGAATGGAAGATCAGCTACAGACTTCCAAAGCCCTCCAGGTGGCTCGCCCCCTGCAGGAAAGCAGAGTGGCATGGCCTGCTTCTGTGTGGTAGCCAGAAGTCCCAAGCCTCATCTTGAGTTCCAGCGGAAAAGGCAGCATGGAGGATGCACAAGTTTTATTTTCTGGACACGACCAGCTGGCAAGTGGGCTCTGCTCCACCTGAAATTCTTGCAAGAGGAACAAAGGTACCCAGATGTAAAACCTGACCACTGTTATTCAGAATTTCTACCTGTCCTCGGCAGCGCTCCCCAATTCCTAGCAAACACCCTGACTTACCACACAGTCTCTGCCACTGTGTATGCATTACCCTGCTTTGCCTAACCAAGCCTTTGTGGGAACCTGAAGTTGTGGCCACACAGGGAGTCTGTCGATCTGCTTGCTGCTGCCTCTGTAGCTTTGCTCAGCTTCCAGTTGTCTTTTCAGTACATCTGTTATGGACACTCATGTTTTTCTCAGCTGCCAGGAAGGGGATTCAGCCCTGTGAGACTTGGCTAGAGAACACTCAGCCCTTTGAGCAGCCCTTGAGTTGTACCCTGTAGCTAGTTCAACATTCTAATGTTCCAGAGACTTTGCTTTCCCTTCTCCCAAAGAAGTGTGAACTAGACACCAAGGTTCCAGCAAGGTTCTTGGACCCTGTGCTGGACTTGGCTGTAAAGAGGGCAGCAGCTGGGCGGGACAGACACCCTCTTAGAGAGACAAGGCCAAGAATACAACCTTAACTCCAGGCGTTGGCTGCACAGAGGCCGAACCTTTTTCTATTAACTCTTCCAACTGGGTCAAGCAGAGGCATCAGGTTTCCTTACAAAGAGTCCTGCATTCTACTCTCTTCTCCTTTCTAATTAAGGGACGTGCGCCCTCAACCATATGACTCATGTTTCTATTCCACAATAGATAATATTGTTTTAAGCATACGTATGGCTCAGTAAATATTTGCAGAATTAAATGGAATTGATGCCTTCCTCTGTAACAATTCCTGCTTGGGAATGTCATTTATTTTTAAAACTTTGTCAAATAATTCATTGGATAGACAGGATATATTCAATTTGTTTGTATAATGCAAGAGATGAAATTTTTGGCTGTTTCGCTGCCAGTTTTTTTTAATACATGCAAAAGGTGGAGGTGAAGCATTTTATTATATATCCTTTTTACCTTGTATATTTTGAGCCATGTGAATGTATTACCTATTTCATAAAATAAAAAAAATTTTTTTAACTTTGAACACTCAAGATGTTGTCACTATTTTTTTTTAGATGTTGTCAGTATTAAAGAGCTGTTTTCAACCTCTGAAACTTTGATAGCCATTATGAACAATAACAATAGCCATTATGAACAATAATGAGATGGTTGGATGGCATTACCAACTCGATGGACATGGGTTTGAGTAACCTCCGGGAGTTGGTGATGGACAGGGAGGCCTGGCGTGCTGTGATTCATGGGGTCACAAAGAGTCGGACACGACTGAGCGACTGAACTGATGAACAATAACTGATTTACTGGATTATTTAGTGAAGTTTAAACTAAATCAAGTAAATTCTTAGAGCAGACAACCAAACTCCAGTATGGGTTTACCCAACATGAAGGCTAAGTGTATGCCTAATGATCCAGAAAAACAGGGCACCAAAACAAAACTTTATAAAATAGTAACATAGGGACTTCCCTTATGGTTCAATGGTAAAGACCCTATGCTTCCACTAATGGGGGTTGGGTTTGATCCCTGGTTAGGGAACTAAGATCCCCGTATGATGCATAGTGCAGCCAATCAATTAATTATTAAAAATAATAGCCAATGCAGGAGACGTGGGTTCCATCCCTGGGTTGGGAAGATCCCTGGAGGAGGAAATGGCAACCTGATCCAGTTTTCTTGCCTGGAGAATCCCATGGACAGAGGAGCATGGCAGGCCACAGGCCATGGGGTCTCAAAAGAATCAGAAACAACTTAGCAACTACACAACAACAACAAAAATAGTAACATAGTTGAGCAAGTTCTGCTTGCAATAATGGCAGGGTAGCTTGTATCAGACTAACATTCCTGCTGATTGCTAGTGTCAACTCTGGAAAAATATTTTTAAGAAATCATTTGAAATGGAAATCAACTACACTTGAATTGAAAAAGAAAAATCATTTGAAGGCACTTTTGGAAACAAACCTAAACAGGTGGCCAGAGGAGATAGGACCCTTAAGTGAAGAGAAGCAAACTGGGTGAGAGGCACATCTAACTGGCTTTTCCTCGCAGGGCATTTTCAAGTCCACCCTGCACATGGGCATACATGCTAAGTCACTTCAGTCGTGTCCAACTCTTTGTGACACGATGGAAAGCCCACCAGGCTCCTCTGTCCATGGATTCTCCAGGCAAGAATATCAAAGTGGGTTGCCATGCCCTCCTCCAGGGGATCTTCCTAACCCAGGGATCGAACCCTCACCTCTTATGTCTCCTGCATTCGCAGGCAGGTTCTTTAACACCAGCACCACTTGGTAAGTCCATGGGCAGTAGAGCTCAAGCAGAAAGCAAGAGTCTCACTGGGCTGAGAAATTAAGAGGTCAGAGTGTATAGCAGCAGCAGTGGCCTGAGGAGGGAAACCATGAGAAAGAGGGAGCCACAAAAGAGGTGCCAGAAAATTGGCACACAGACTCGCCTCACTTAGATCCTTGTTTGAGTCCTCAAGTGTGTGGGGAGGGGATGACTCCAAGGAGCCAAGAAGACCAAAGCATTAAACAGAGATTTCAGCAATTTCCCGGTAATGGGAAACAGATTAAGAGTTCAAAGTCCACCAAGTTAGAAGGGCTTATAAAATACTTCGAGCTTTCCATTGAAACCCCAGAGGGTCACACCTTAGGAATAAAGACCATTTCCCAGGGCAAAGGGGTAAAACTAAACTAGGCCTTCCCTAACAAAGACTGAAACCAAGCTTCCCATGGATCAAGGGGATCTGCCGGTAGTTTAACCAAATGCCAGAAGAAAATTCAGCATGCTTCAAAGGAAGATAAGAGAATGTTGAGTTTCTATAACTACTATCTACAATATCTGCTATACATCAAATACTACTAGATATGTGAAGAAGCTCCTCTGTCCAAAATGGACAAATCGAGTAGTATTTGATGTATAGCTGATATTGTAGATAGTAGTTATAGAAACTAGATTCTCAGGAGCCTGGCAGGCCACAGTCCATGGGGGTGCAAAAGAGTCGGACAGGACTTACCGACTGAACAAGATGTGAAGAAGCAGCAAA